GCGCCGCCCTTTGATGGAGGGAATACCCCGGCTAGTCGCTCGCAGCTCCCGGCCAGGGCCCCGCTGCTGCGGGAGTTCTGGGCCAGACTCTCCTCCCTCCAAGCAGCGGCGAAGCATCCTGGTTTGCCTATAAACCTACCAACAAATTTTCTAAGAACCTGTTGTGGTCTGCACGAAATGTTCTTAGAACATTTCTGGCTGAGACTGTCTTGTTTCAATACATCGGGTACATGTTCTAAGAACACTGTTTTTGTCAGAGCATTTTTGGGTTCTAAGAACATGTCGTGGTAGGCCTATGGGAATGCTGGGACGGTCGGTCCCTGCCCTCCTCCCTGGTCTTCCCCGTCCGTGGCATCCACGAGAGCGTAGTAGGTCTCGCGTGCGCTTGCTATATCGACAACGTCATCAGAAATCGCAGCGCCCGCTTCCACTTTCGCGCCGCCGCGCTGCGGAGCATTCTCGCGGCTTGTGATCTGGCGAGTGACGAACCATGCGCGCCCTCATGGGGGTCCTCTCGCAGCCCTCTTCGGGCTTCCTGCGCAGACTTGAAGCCATCTTGGGCGCCTTCGAGTGTTCTGGGAAGCGCCTTCTGCCATTATTGGCAGACCCCCCCGCCCAGTTCGAACCCGGGGGGGGAAGGGGGGGCAAGCAGCCTCCCATTCCGAACAGGGGTGAGGGGGGGGACTAATTCCAATAGGCTGGGAATAACCCCAATCGCTTGGTACATTTTCCAACCGGATCGACAAGACGAACTGGTACTATCTTCAACCGCCCAAATAACGTGAGCGCATGATTGTTATTATTAGGCGATGTTGGGATATCCCACAACCGAATTATCTGCTTACGTCTGCGCATTCATTCCAGAAAATAGCCGAGGTTGGAATGTGTACCAGGTTTGCCCGGGGATGTTACTCATCATCATAATCATCATCATCATCATCATCATCAGCACCACCATCATCAACAACCTCACCATCAACATCATCATCATCAACAACCTCACCATCAACATCATCATCATCAACATCATCAGCATCATCAGCATCGTCATCAGCATCATCAGCATCATCATTTGCATCATCATCATCATCATCATCATCATCATCATCAGCATCATCATCATCACTATCATCAGCATCATCAACATCTTCACCATCATCACCATCATCAGCATGAGCATCATCAACAGCATCATCGTCGTCATCGTCATCACCATCATATTCATCATCACTATCACCATCATCACAATCATCACCAGCATCATCATCAACATCATCATCATCATCATCAGCATCAATGTCATTACCACCATCATCGTCATCATCATCATCAGCATCAGCATCATCATCATTACCGTCATCATCAACATAATCTTCATCATCAGCAGCATCTTCACCAGCATTATCATCAGCATCATCATCCTAGCCGACATTCCCACCATCATCATGATATGTTGAACGATTGTCATCATCATTACCATCATCATAATCACCATCCGAATCCATCCGAATCCTGTGTGAGTTTCTTCTCAGAGGCCTCTGGGGGCTTCTCAGAAGCCCCTTGGGGCTTCTCAGAAGCCCTTGGAGGCTTCTCAGAAGCTTCTAGAGGTTTCTCAGAAGCGTCTGGGGAAAAGGCTTCTAGGGGCTTCCTCGACAGCCTCTGGAGGCTTCTCAGAAGTCCCTGGGCACTTCTCAGAAGCCTCGGGGAGCTGTTCAGTAGCCTCTGGGAGCTTCTCAGAAGTTTCTGGGGGCTTCTTCGAGGGGTCTGGGAGCCTCCTAAAGACGCCCGCGCGACGCCTCCAAGACGCCCATGCGACGCCGCTACGACGCCCGCACGACGCCTGTGAGATGCCCGCGCGACGCCTTTAAGACGCCCGCGCGGCGCCTTTAAGACGCCCGCGCGACGCCTGTAAGACGCCCGCGCGACGCCTTCAAGACGCCCGCACGACGTTTCTAAGACGCCCGCACGACGCCTGTCAGACGCCAGGAAGACGCCAGCAAGGCGCCAGTAAGACGCGAGGAAGACGCCAATAAGACGCCTCTATGACGCCAGGAAAACGCCAGCACGACGCCTCTAAGACGCCCGCGGGGCTTCTCATCATGAGTGGTTGGAATTTCTCGTCGAACGGTTGGAATGTGCAGCCGGGCGTGGTCTTACAAGCCCGGCTGCTCGATGGTTGTTTGTCTTTTGTTTGCGTTGCCCCCGCTTCCGCTTCCAGATGCGTGGCCCCGCGGCCGCCTCAGGGCCGCGCCCAGCCCCTGCAAGCCCCGCCCACCAGAGCCAGCCCAGCCCCCACGAAGCTCCGGTCTCCCCCAGGGGGCGGGAGGTGCACGGGCAATCCGCAGCTCGCTGGAAGCCCTACCCCCAAGCAGGCCCCAAAGGCACCATTAGGAATTGAACCCAAGAAAGCCAGATTGTGGGAAGAGATGTTCCCCATTTTACTACCACTCGGGCACATGCACAGGAAGGAGGGCATACTCTTGCCCTATTCTATGGCACGCCCCCTATTCTAGTAGTGGTGGTGGTCGTCGTCGTCGTCGTTGTGGTGGTGGTGGTGGCGGGGGGTGGCGGTGTTGTGCGCGGTGGCAGTGTGGCGGCAGCGGCGAACGCAGCCGTGAGGGGGGGGGGGGGGGGGGGCGGCGGCGGCTGTGGTCGCCGCAGTGTTGGAAGTGGCTTTGCATGGGCGGTGGCAGTGGCGACAACAGCGGCGGCGGCGAGCGCGGCCGCTGTGGGGGCTGAAAAGGTTTTGGGGGCCGCGGCGTTGGGTGCTTCAAGCAAGCAGCGGCCGAGGTGGTGGCGGCTGGGCAGCCAGTGGCAGTGGGAGTGATCGCGGTGTGGGCGGCGGTGCCTTTGGTGGGGGCGGCAACAGCAGCGGCGGGGACAGCGATAGTGGTGGGGCAATGCTGGGCGGGGGGCGGGGGGGGGGCGGTGGCCGCGGTGATGGTATTGGCTGCGGCGTGCCTGGGGCAGACGCGTTTGCTTGCTTGCTGGATAGTGGCGGTGGATGGCTGGGTCGCGCTGGGGGGGGGGGGGGCGGCGGGGGTGGTGGCTTTCGGCGCAGCAGCGGCGGCGGTGGTGGGCCTGGTTGGCAATGCCAGAGGCAGCGGCAGGGTTGGCGGCCGCGGCGGCAGCGGTGGCGGTGGCTTTCGCAATGGGGGCGATGGCAATTCTAAATTTCAGAATTCCTCAGTATGCAAAGCTCTGAAGACATGTGAACGGCCTTACTTGCACAGAAGCCTTTCTACAGTGATTTCCCCTGCAATGACAATGGCAGTATTAGAACACTTCCCCCCAAACAGGCTGCTCAGGCTCCACCAGGAATTGAACCCAAGAAGGTCAGTTTGTGAGAGTAAGGAAACTCCATTTCACTACATTAGATTTATTTTATCATGGAGGGGTGGGCATATTTCGCCTGCTTCATTCCACTGAATTGTGCCATTTCATTGCATTACCAGCAGATTCCGAGAAACAGGCTCCCGGCAAATTCCCAGGAGTGAAGGCCATGAGGCCCTACGGGCCCTGGCGCCATCGTCCCAGGGCCTCCTCGCAAGCGACAAATCCGCCAAGGCCCTGGCTCTATGGAGGCTACAGGGGCGCAGACGCCCCAATCCCCTCGACAGTTTCCTCGAACTGCGGGCGCGAAAAAAATGCCCGCAGTTTTCAAGGGGATTAGCTCTGCGGGCCGGAAAAAAAGTGCCCGCGCCCCCCTGCCACCCCTGGGCAATCGAAATGCGGGCGGGGAAAAAACCGCCCGCAGTTTTTCAACGAGATTACCTCTGCGGGCCGGAGAAAAAATGCCCGCCCCCCTTCGGAGTGCGGGCAGACAAAAAAATGCCCGCAGTTTTTCAAGGACATTAGCTCAATGTTTTTTCAACTGAGACCTGCAAGAAGTACTACTGGGATGTGAACCTGTGAAGTGCAGATTCTGTCCTAACGCCTCTTCGGTCAGGCTATACAGTCGAAAAGGTCCTATCGCCCCGTCGATTTTTTTCCATTTTGTGGCCCTGGCTCCTGTGGAGGCGACCCCTGCCTCCACAGAAGGCGCGCCCGTGCGAGCCAGCCCGGGATGGCTGGGGGCAGCGCTGCTGGTGGCACTGCTGCTGCGGGCGCCCCCCGCCTGGGGCTGCGCGAGGGCTCGCAGGCCCACAGCTGCCGCCTCCCCTGCTGCTTCCAAGACCGTTGTTACTGCTACTACTGACGCCCCAGCTGCCACCCCCACTACCACTACTACACCACCGCTGCTGCCGCTGCGACTACTGCCACTACTCCCACTGCAACTGCTGCTACTACTACTACTACCACTGCCACTGCGCCGCTACTGCCACCACTACTACTACCACAACAGCCGCCACTAGTACCACTACTACCGCTATTGCTTCTACTACTCCTGCCACTACCACTACTACTACTTCTACCACCACCGCCGCCAGCACTACTACTTCTACTGCCACTACTACTACTACTACTACTACTACTACTACTACTACTACCACTACTACTACTACTACTACTACTACCACTACTACTACTACTACTACTACTTCTACCACTACTACTGCAACCACCACTACCACTACTACTACTACTACTGCTACTTCAACTACTAGCACCACTGCCACTACTACTGCTACTACTGCTACTACTTCTGGGCTCACCCAGGGGCCTGCAGCAGGGCTGCCCCGTCTAAGCCTACCGTGGCCTTGCCAGTGGGCCCCCGTGGGCCTGCCATTTGGCTTGCCCCTTGCCCAGGCCTGCCCCAGGCCCGCCGCCGTCCACCGCGCAGGCGTCCTACTAGTTCTGAGGCCGCACCCGGGCCCCCGTCCGAGGCCTTGCCCGATGTCGCCCCCCTGGCTTCTCGGCTTCTGCGCGGGCCCGAGGCCGTGGCCAGAACTGCGCAGAGGCCCAGGCTGGGGGCATGCGCGGGCCTTAGACTCCCCCAGAATAAGCGCCCCTCGCGCCCGCGCGTTCGGACTCACTTGACTGCGCCGCCTTGCGTGTCG